TTTGGGGTCATTAAAAGGTTATAAATGTGATTGTGTTGATGGATGCACAACTGTAAATATACTAAAAGCCAATGAATTGTACACTTTAAATGGCATAGCATGTGAATTACATCTCAGTAAAGCTGTTATATACAGAGAGAGAGAGGCTGCATATCAAACTTTTGGGGTTCGAATTCAGGCTTCAGCGCATGTAGTTCTGCTATCTCAGCCAGTCACACTTAACCCCTCCCAGCCTCACTTTCCTTATCTGGAAGGTGGTGATAATAACACCAACTTTAGAGAGTGCTTCTGAGGATTCTCAACATGTGGTAAGCACTCAGTAACCGTTAATTATTATATTATTTTTGTCCTACTCTTGTATTAATAATTTACATATCTATGCACTTCAATAAGAAAAGGGCCATGATCTTGGGAACTGTAAGCTCCATTCTGTATGGGGAAAGTGTCTCCATAACTTCCCATGGTGGTATTGCCTATGTTGGGCTGAGGTCTTAATATATCAGTAGACTGAGGACTTTAGGAACTGTTTTTGTTAATCTTCCCAATGAAAATAAAGGATAATAGCTAATGTCACTATTAACATGTCATCAAATACATGTAGTCTTGGACTCAAGAATGAAACAATACCTGACATAGACCTCAGTAAGTTGCTACCAATAAGGCCAGGATAGAGAGCGGCTGGCAGAATTCTGGGAAGTCCCACTTTTGACTGAATGAGTCCCTGGGCAACCAGAAATACCCGTGCATAGACCGTAGTCCACAGGCAAAGACATCCTTGCTTAAGGAACTATTCCAAAGGTTTCCTTGTTGCCAAGATGGGGAAGGGAAGCATTTCAAACTTGCTTATGAAGGGCCGAGCCCGTGGTGCACTCGGGAGAGTGCGGCGCTGGGAGCGTAGCAGCGCTCCAGCCGCGGGTTCGGATCCTATATAGGGATGGCCAGTGCCCTCACTGGCTGAGTGCGGTGCGGCCGGTCTCAAAAAGGACAAAAAAAAAAAAAAAACTTGCTTATGAAACTATCTGAATAATAAACACACCTAAAATGTCAGAGCGAACAAGTAAACAGTACTGTGCCCACGGCTGTCGGGCATAGGGCCTAAAATAAGTTTAATGTCCTCTGCCTCTCTTCCCATGTTCACCTTTCTGGGGATCTGTGTTTGTGGGCTAATCGTGGGCACACATAGTAAGTAACCAATAGAAATTTGTTGGAAATGAATGACTGAATGAATGAATGAAACAGTAATTCAGAGGCTGAATGTGTACTTGCTGGTTAGAGATGCTTTGTCCTTTTAGAATATTGATTTGAAATAAAAGTAGGAGGAGAGTGAGAAAATCAGCCTTGCAAAATGTCATTGAAGCCCTTGCAAATATTTGGACTTCATTATACATGTTTGAATCCAGTGATTTTTAATAGATTTTGGAATATGCTATGTTGGTATATATGAATGAACTAAGAGCTATTTACTTAAAATTGTTTCAGTACATCTCATGTGCACATTTGAATCTACTCTCCCTCTTTATACTCTTTTTTCTTCTACCTAGGAATGTGCACATTTTTTCCTCGAGGTTAAAGACAAAGACATCAAGCATGCCTTGGCTGGGCTCTTTGTTGAAATCCTTGTCCCAGTTGCTGCTGTGAGTTACATTTTCATTTCTCAGTACTTTTTCAAACTGGGTTACAGAACCAACAACTTCATTAACATAATATTCACATGCTTCTCTATTTCAGACTGTTAAAAATGAAGTAAATGTTCCCTGCCTTAGAAACTTTGTGGAAAGCCTGTATGATACCACGCTGGAACTGTCTTCTCGAAAGAAGCATTCCTTGGTTAGTAACTATGAGAGAAAATTTAAAACACAAACAAAACTGCAGAGATTAAAATTCCTAGGCAGAAAGCTATTTGAGAGTCATAAGGATTCCACAGGCAGGAGAATTACCTACAGCTCCCTCAAAAAGAGGTAGCATTTCAAACTTTAGAGCTCACGTAATTGCATCACAGCCAGGTAAGAGGGTTAGACCATGCCACCTTGGATGACCCTTCTTCTCCTAAGGATGCTGCTGTGCATTTTTAAGATTGGCTTAACTTGATTTTTGTTTTAGTTTCTGAGAATTTTTTTCAGTCTGAAGGCTAAAGTTTATAATAACAGTTTATCTTCTCGATTCCCAGGAGCCTACACTGGTGAATTCCTATCCTGATATTCAGAATCAAAATTGAAGCAGGCAAGAAAGAGAGTTGGGCAATAGATAAGTGGCCTGTAGGAAAGATTTTCTGAAGGCCAGGAAAACAATTCTTGGGGAAGCTTTGGTACTGAAGAGCAGCACAGAAGAGTTTTTTAAATTACCACCACCTTAATGGTCATGTTGCCAGTATGGATCTGGCCTTCACATTTTGGGCACAAGGGGTGACAATCAGCTTTGTATCTCATGAATATTCATAACCAATAAAAATAATAAAATAAAATAATTACCACCACCTTTTACCCTCCATGGTAAGGATCTGGTTTATGAACAGGCAGGTGGTATACCAGCTGTTTCTGTGATAGTCTGAAGGAAGCAGGTTGCTTAGGCAGCTGGTTACTGGCATGGTTTATGCTAGTCTCCAAAGTCTGGACATCGCCACTGTGTTTTCAGCAGGTGCTCAGAGCTGCTTTGCGGGTAGTGGTGGTGAATTTGCTCATTTGTCTGCATTCTGTGGTCATTGTGACTAATTGTGTGCATTTTTTTTTTTTTAGATTACTAACTGGTATTAGAGTTGCACTCAGTGGTAGCAATAGTTCACAAGTCTGTTGAAAACTAAATTAATTTTCAAAAACTAAGTTAATGAATTATTGAGCACTGAATCCCATTGTGGTAATGGTTTCTTGCTAATTCAAGTTAACAGATGAGCCAGTTATTTTTTTAAGTCTCCACTAGCCTTATTTTGGGGGAGCCATAAAGGTGTATGCTATCTGGTTTGGCAACACGGTGACAGGTTCTGCATGTATGTGTTTTGGGTGGCTGCCCATTAGCTTTTCTATCTTCTCCAGTTGCTGTGGGAAACTGGCCCAGTTAGGCAGGAAAACACAGTAGCACCTCTGTTTATTCCATCGTAAGCAAATTCCTCCTGTGGTTAAATTAGTCTTGGTAGAGTTTACCAATGCAATAACATTACTTTTAGGAATCTTCCTTAATTACAGGAAGGTTGCATGTGAAAGAAAATATATACACCTACCACTAAGACAGGGACAAACAAGGAGATGTTTATGAGCAAAAAAGCCAATAACATTTTCAAAATTAGTGTGCCTTCCTGCTTTTTTTTTCCCTGGAGATTGAAAGAGTGGTCTAAGGTGGTCAGTTTGTTTTTTAAATTCATTAGTGAAGACTAAGTCAGTGAATCAGATTTCCATATTATTATACATGAAATTTCTTTTATTTTTTTTTTTTTGTCCTTTTTAAGACCGGCCGCACCACGCTCAGCCAGTGAGTGCTGTGAGTGCACTGGTCATCCCTATATAGGATCTGAACCCGCGGTGGGAGCGCTGCTGCGCTCCCAGCACCACACTCTCCTGAGTGCGCCACGGGCTCGGCCCGAAATTTCTTATTATGCAACATCCATAATTCCAGATGGTTCCATCCCCAGCATTATCAGAAAGCATTTGCGAAATTCTCCCCTCTGCTCATCACCGGTTGGATGTGATTATTCTGGTCTGTAAGGCCGCTGAGGGAGATGGAGAGGTAGTGGGTGCAGAGAATGTGTGTTACCTGGTGTGTTAAAATCTAAATCATCCCGTGCCCTCTTCTCCTTTCTGCTCAGGCCTTGTACCCTCTGGTGACCTGTCTGCTCTGTGTCAGTCAAAAGCAGCTGTTTTTGAACAGGTGGCATGTTTTCCTCAACAACTGCTTATCCAACCTTAAAGTGAGTATTTTACTGGATCGAAAAAAAATTTTTTATAAAGATTTACAATATGATTATTAGGCTGATATATGTGTTTCTGGGAGTGATTCCTGATGTTTGTTGGGGGGAAACAATCCTATACTATTGCAATAATGAAAAAATATTAATAAGAGTTCTTATTCAACACAGTCAGTTTTAGAAAGCGACTAGGGATAAGAGTTATCACTTCAGATTTGGGAAAGGTAAAAGTCTAATAAGGATCACTTCAAAGATAGAATTAAATGCCCCTTTATATGCATCTGTTGTTACATTTTATCTAAATGATTTAAAAATGTAATAAGGGCCACACTTAGCTGACAGAAGCATGTGAATTGATTTCAGAAGCTCACCCATACCTCTCCCATCTTTCATCTATCCCCTCTAGTTTAGGAAAATATTGTGGAGGAAAAGCTCCATTTTGTGGGAGCACTGACCTAGTAACAGCGAACACTCATCTCCTGTCACTGTTGTTTGTGATTATTTGAAGGTATTCTATTCAAGCCACATGACAGTCAATCAGTCCTAAGCATTCACTACTCACCAGGTAGGCAGCACAGGTACTGGGTCATGTGAGAAATGAGGTCCCTGAGACCCAGGAGCCTACAGTTACAACAGCTGTAATGGTTAGCTTTAAAATGGGCTTTATAACTTTGAAGTGGTAAACATGTTTTCAGTTTTAGTAACCTATTGATAAAAGACAACTAAATGCAAACCACTTCTAATATAAGTGCAAATAGGATGTAGTTTTTACACTTGCTCCCAGTTGCGTTTAAAGATGTGGCTCAACTTCTTTTAAAGGTTTGATAGACAAAAGACAAAAAAAATAAAAAATAAATAAATAAATAAATAAAAAAAAAAAATAAAATGGGCTTTATAACTTTGAAGTGGTAAACATGTTTTCAGTTTTAGTAACCTATTGATAAAAGACAACTAAATGCAAACCACTTCTAATATAAGTGCAAATAGGATGTAGTTTTTACACTTGCTCCCAGTTGCGTTTAAAGATGTGGCTCAACTTCTTTTAAAGGTTTGATATTTGCTGCTTTAGAATTTTTGAAATATACTGAGCTATAAAATCTTGTATATGCTTATACATGTTGCCTTGGTTTTTTTCCCTAAGACCCTTTAATTTGATGAAGTGGTTAAGATTAATTATATCATTTGGGTATTTACCATAATTACACAATAATCTACATTAGAGCTGTTTTAAGCTCCAACTATGCACTGGCTCTAAAAGCTGATTGTGAAATCCAAGATTAGAATCATTCATTTTCTTCAAATCGGCAGTGAAATATAATAGTGGTGGATAAAGAATTAAGCTTTTAAGTATGCTGAAAAATGAAATGCTTTACAGAGTTATCTACTGCTATATAATGGCCACTTTCAGGTATTTTATTTGAAGATTTATCTATCTGACATACAACTCTAATGTGCAGCCCAATGTCATTTTTTGTTGTTTTGTCCACTTTTAAGTTATCCAGTCATTAGTCCCAAATAAATATGGGTTTTTTTCTTTTACGTTTTTACACAGAAAAATGGTCATTGTGTTTAAAACAAAAAGAAATGGTTAAGAATTCTCATACTGCAGTTTACTATATATATTATGTTTAATGTGTCTACGGTGAATTTTTTATTAGAATTAAAATAATATTTTGTGTGCCAATTTATTGCTGTGCCCAAAAAGACCAAATTTTTTTTGTCCAAAGTTGTTTTTGAAACATAGAAGAGAATCTTCCTTTAGAATTTAACTACTTCAAAGTCAGAATATGAAGGTACCTCAAAGAGTTCATAGAAAATAGAGCCAAAAGAGAATACAGGTCTTTCCATGAACTTTTTGAAGTATCCTCGTATTGTTTAGAGCTCTAGTGAAGCCCACCAGAAAGACTTACTATGAGGGTTATAAAAGCCCCAGAGAAAAGTAGGTTCAGATACTGACACTATTCCCCTGTGCGAACATTTCAAGCATTACAATTTCTAGAAGAATTTTTGAAGATTTATCTATCTGACATACAACTCTAATGTGCAGCCCAATGTCATTTTTGTTGCTTTGTCCACTTTTAAGTTATCCAGTCATTAGTCCCAAATAAATATGGGTTTTTTTCTTTTACATTTTTACACAGATAGAAAAATGGTCATTGTGTTTAAAACAAAAAGAAATGGTTAAGAATTCTCATACTGCAGTTTACTGTATATATTATGTTTAATGTGTCTACGGTGAATTTTTTATTAGAATTAAAATAATATTTTGTGTGCCAATTTATTACTGTGCCCAAAAAGGCCAAATTTTTTTTGTCCAAAGTTGTTTTTGAAACATAGAAGAGAATCTTCCTTTAGAATTTAACTGCTTCAAAGTCAGAATACGAGGTACCTCAAAGAGTTCATAGAAAATAGAGCCAAAAGAGAATACAAATCTTTCCATGAACTTTTTGAAGTATCCTCGTATTGTTTAGAGCTCAAGTGAAGCCCACCAGAAAGACTTACTATGAGGGTTATAAAAGCCCCAGAGAAAAGTAGGTTNAGTGAAGCCCACCAGAAAGACTTACTATGAGGGTTATAAAAGCCCCAGAGAAAAGTAGGTTCAGATACTGACACTATTCCCCTGTGCGAACATTTCAAGCATTACAATTTCTAGAAGAAAGCGGCAGTAAGATCAGAAAGAATATGTAGAGTCAATGCTGGAGAGATTGAACTACATTCCAAAATTCAGTTCAATTCATCGAAGATTTACATAGTGCCCACTGTTTGCATGAGATACCAGGGAAGGTGCTGGAAGTGGGAAGGATGGGGAAAGCAACTCTAAAAATCTGGATATAGAATAGAGTCCCTGTCCTTGAAGAGCTCAGAATTTTCTTGGGGGATATGTAATGAAGTTTCAAAATGCATGATTCAGACAGTGAGGGACGTAAAAGTCGGGAGTGGGAAGACACCTGTGTGATCGGTCGAGGTCTCCTTCCCCATGCAGTAAAAACAAGGTACTTATTAGGCAAAGTAAAAGCAATGATATTTTCCTTTACATGTAATACACTGTTGGAATTCACTACCCCAAGGCTAAAAGATATATAAAAAGATCCTTGATGAGTTACAAACAGAATAAAATTCTATCACATATATTTAGAATCAAACCCAGTAAGGATTTAAATAGGCCCATTTTCCAAGGTCATTAATATACGGAAAATTTTCCAAACCTCCTCATGAGTCCTTAACAGGGTAGAAATACCTGAGGAAAGACTAACATGGCTTCAGATGTAAACTTGTCTTGAATAGCTTCACTATTTTATGAAATTTGGAACCAACCATATCGTTTCATAAGGAAACACCAAACCAAGCCTCCCCCTGTACACCTTCTGGCCACCTTCCTCCTTTTCCCCATGCCCCAGATGCTT